GGGGGGGGGGGGGGGGGACGGGGAGAGAAAGATGGAGAGAAAAAAAAAACGTAAACCGGGAACGATCGGGCGAGCATCGATACGGCTAAGAAGAAATCTCCTTTATATTAATGCCCTCCATAAATATTAGAAAATAAAACGTAGGAAGAGCCTCGGGGCTTCGTAAAGGACAGCGCAACCGAAAGAGATGAGATGAGATGAGATGAAACTTTCTATAGATATAAAGTCTGCCTGCTATCCTGTCTTCCCCTTAACTCCCTTATTCCGGTACGTACCCCTCGCCACTGTGCGGAACTTATAAGGATTGGCACCCCTCTGGCGTGCACACCCTCGTAAAGGTGGACATTAAATTTTTGAATCGATACCCGCGACTTAGATTAAAATGTTATGCTAGCATTTCACGATATTTGCGAAAGGTATCCTATGTCTGTAGGACATGTACACAGAGAGGTATAATAATCGGGGTACACCTTTGACGGACACTTTTAGGGTATGAAGAAAATAGAGAATGGACGAGGTGCACGCCGGGAACACCTGACGGGCTCTGGTCTGTCATGGCTGACAGTGCTGACACAGATTGGCTGGGAAACAGCACTGTGTTTGTAGATCGTACAGAGAGTCCGTGAATGGTTAACTGTGTCCCCTGACAATGGGGTGTCGGAGGGGGTTGACTTGTTATTCTTACGGAGCTAACACTATGCTTAGCATTGCCAGCTATTGCTACAGCGCGGATAGTAGTTTTGGTAGTATGACGGAGGGCGGTAATGGTGGATGAGGATTCGGGAGATGGGGTTGGAGTTTATATATATATATTTTTGTATGTATATATATACCGAGGAGCCAATATAAAATTAATAATACTTGATCCCATAACGTCGAAAGTTAATTTCTTTTCGTATTAATACGGAGAGTGCATCTCCTATAATGAGATTGCTTTGTCGGAGAGGGTCGGGGCATGATATAAGGGGTAGGTTATAAAGCGTCCCCGTAATAACGTATCGACAGAGCGAAAGCCTCGTATATAACAGAATCGTTGCTTTATGCAGCATCCTTCTTCGGGTATGTTTATTCTTGGAATTTTATAGTTGGTAACCTTTTTTTTTTCGGAGTCGCTACTGTGGGTATATGAGAGGGATTAGATGGCTGCCGCGGGGGTCGAATCAGCGTTCCGTAAAATGAGCAAAAAATTATCTCGTGAACGCGTTCGCAAAATAGCAAAATTACGACGTATCGAATAGGGTTGACCGTAACGTTATTTTTCCCATAAATGTAAAAAAAAAAAAAATAATTGCTGATTATTGACAAGCATCTGTGCGTGATTCGGGAGTGTAATTGTTATCGAGTGGCGCGTTGTACAAAAAATGATAAGGTTTGGGACGGTGGAGGGGGGTTTGAATGAGTTTTTTCCAATAATACGGAAATATCGAGTGTCTCGAAGGCGCCGAGTTATTACGCGGAGACGTCGTATCTCGGTTGGCGCGAAGATTTTTATTAAATTTGAGACAATTGGAAACATGACAGCTTCTTAATAAGCTGGGCACGCGGTAGGGGAATGACTGCCGAGCAACCGGCCCCTACTGTCAACCCTCTCCTCGTACAGTTCGACTTGCCCTTGGAAAACCATCCCGAGGGATAATTATTTTCAGTTGATATTTTCTAGCTCCTGGAAACGTCCCTTAGGAATTTCAATAGGGTTCGGCGCCACGGTCGAACGTAAAATGTCCGTGGGACTGTTTTCTCGAAATTTTCGTGGAGACAAAAGATATTTAAGGGATGTGTCTAGGGGTCGTTACGGCAGGTCGCAGGGGCTGAGAGTCGCAGCTAGCCGGCGTTGAACGTTAGGACGGGAGTGTTAGGAAGTAAAAAGTTTGGCCCGGCGGTACAAGGGAAAATGTCGATATTTATTGGCAAACATCGGGTGAATGTAAAATTCAGTTTTCAATCTAAATGCACTCGCATTGGCCCGGGGATAGGTGGTGTGTAGTTCTGTCGTAGGGGGGTAGGTTACGCCCCGGCCGTATAGCACGAGGGGGTAGTTGGTGGTGCCGCACGCGTCTTGAATAAAATGTTTATCGTGCATTAAAACGGACTGCCCTATTGGATCCTCGATCTTAAGACTCCTACGATGGTACCGGTTGATTTTACGCTCCTGGAGTCAACCACCCCGTGTGCACCAGAGGATCCCAAGTCTCAGCTTTCCTGCCTCGTATCCCACCCCCGTATGCCTAAGGAGCCCAGGGGGGTGCACGAGATTGGATAATTCGGTGGTTCAGTTTTATAAGAAACGTTATTATGTATTAAGAATGATCCGTTTTAGATAAGGTGTCTTACCACCCCTTTCCTCCCCCAGCTTCGCCGGCCCCCGTACACCCCTCGTTCTACCCTGCAGCGTCTCACCACCGCGCACCGTGATTTATGCCTCGGGGATGAGTTTCGAATAAAGGATCCTCCAGCAATGCATAAAAGGCACCTTTAGCCTTCCCACCGTGAAAAACTCTACCAGCCCCCCTCCGGACCCCCCTGGAAAATTGACTATCTCTCCTTTGGAAAATCCCTCTCGCTGCCAATCAGAAACTTTTTACAGAGTTTCCCCCCTCC